CTGATGTTTCCAACTGTTCCAGGAAATTGATCTACTCTTCCAATGGGGAACTGATGATCAAATTCTGCCCTTTTATACAGGACAGAAACCACTTAGCTTTTAATAAGTGACTCAGTATTATAATTGCACCAATGTCTGGCAAATTCAAGCTGCAAGCCTTTGTCTCACCCTTTCAGTGAGGGCCTATTTCAGACTGTTGATAACATTGACATTTCATGAAGTCACTTGTCAGCTCAGCAGTACACAAGCACTTGGGTTGACTGGTGAAGTCAGCCAGCCATCTCAGCAGAGAAGAACATCCTTCTCAATCTGAACTGCAATCAGTGAAACTGTAGCTCACTCCTTCCCATGGAATCTAGATAGCATCCATCCCTCTGGTGGGGGCTCTCACTGGTCAACTGAATAAACACTTTGTATTCAGATGACCTCTGAGCAAGAAAGTTCCATAATGTGATATGGAAACAAATTATCTGAGATACAGCCATCTCATCTGTGGTAATAATAAGAATCTCTGTATGCCCAGATGCTGGGTTCATATTTTGGGACTTTAGCCAAGAAAAGTCCAAAAAGATATTTTGGACTCTGGGGATAAAATAATAAAATTTTCAAGAACCTAAACATACATTGTCGAATCTCTTTTTAGCTTTCACAAGTTGTGGTCTGCTTGTCTCTGTTGACAGGTCATCAGGATCATAGTTCTTGCTGGGGTTGCTATTCAGACAATATAGAGGACCCTGGAACTTGAAACTGCCTTTCCTACGTAGAAAACAAACTCTTCAAACAATAGACTTTATTAATGCTGTGTGTATTTATGCGACTGCATGACCAATGTGATTCTGCAAGCTGTACACTCAGAAAAATGAGAAATTATATCCCATCTGATTCAAATGTATGATATGTCAAGATCATTGTACTGTCATGTGTAACTAATTAAAACAAATAAAAAATTATAAAAAAACTTCTGTGCTGAAACACTGAAAACATTTGTAGTAATTCCTAAACAAAGAAGCAAGCTAGAGATTTTCAATCCTACACTTCTTGACAACATCTGGGGAAAGAAAGGGTGTTTCGTCTAGGATGAAAAAGAAAACGTAGTCTACCTACCCAGATGTTGGTATAGAGCATGATTCTCCTCCAGTGGATGAATACTTGGAATGGGTCATTAAGATAAAGAGACTAATTCACATTTATACTAGAACCTTTTAACATGCACTGAAAGGGAGAATTCTGAGATTAAGTTCTTGACAAAGGACTCGAAAAGCACTGTTCAAAGCACACTGTCCTGGACATAATCCAGGTTACCTGCCAGAGCTTGTTGTGGATGTTGGCTTCACTCCAGGAGTGTTTCGTGCTGGCCCCAGAGAACAAACATCCTCGTTCTTCCCTTGGCAGCTGATTCTTTGGTGCTAGTGTCCATTTGTTTTTCCCTTTTTCCATAGGACTTGTGCAGAAAGGTTTTTATACTGCACCCATATTATAGGAAAATACTACAGTCAGGAAGAAAGTAGAGATGCCAGCAGAGTCAGGAACTGGGTCACAGTTGCCTGAATGAATTTGACCTCAGAAATCTATTTTCCAGATGTTGAACTCTGGGCGACAGAACCAAGATGATATTTCAGAAGAGCTGGCTGCCTTCTCTGGAGACAAAGAAGAAAAATCCAATAATTCTGAAGAACGTTTGAGGTTGGCTTAAATACCAATAGTAAAGATTGCTTCTTTGACATCACTGCAACTGAGTTAGGACAGAAAAGAAAGTAAATATTTTGAAGAGAAAATCAAAAAGGACGGACCATGATAATTATAGAAATAGAGGAATAGAACTATACAAAGGAAACTGGGAGTGAAATTTCTTCCTAGACCGGGAAACCTAGTGCTTTTTCCTGCTTTCCAGGTGTCAAAAGGGCTGATTCTTTGGGAAGCTCCCTAGAAACTTCTAGCTCTTTTATGTTTCATATGTTAAACCACCCCAGTTTTTTCAGATAATATTAAAAATAATGAGGAATTCTATCTTGGGGTTAGTTTAGGAGTCTAAGATGGAGAGTTTAGAAAGAAAGTCCTCAGACCTAATTTCTAATGCTTAAGCCAACAGTGTTTCTATAACCACTATTTATTTGGGTTATTTGTTTGTACATAGTAATACCAATCTCATTGTTGTGGAACATTTCATTGGCGGGGGCAAGTTTGAATTTTGTTTTGTTTGAAATGAAATGCATCAATTGTTATTCTGTCAATTTTTTCAAATAGCTCATAACCCTTTTGTTATGGTTATTTTAGCAAGCCATAATAGCCCTCAAAGTAGGAACAGGGAAATTGACCTTTGGATTTTTTTTCTTTATTACTAGTTCTTTTACTTATTTGTCCTTGTGACTGTAGTGATAACTTCAAAGATGTAGAGTGAAGGATGAATGAATAATTGGTTTGATGCATAATTGTGTCACTTCTTGAGTCCTTATTTTTGCAGGATAATTGTAAATGTATATATTTTAAATGCACTGATACACTGAACATGTTAGTGTCTATGCCGCTGGAACAATGGCATTTTCTGGCTACAGGGTGGCCTGATAATAACGTCTTGATTTTCCTTTGGGGCTCAACTATATAGGTTTTTCCGCCAAGCAGTAGGGGGAGTACAGTGATCAATCATTGATGCCATTGAAATTGTTATTCCTTAAAAATGAATTTATAAAAATATTAATTACAAAGAAAACAATAATAGGCATATTCATCATTTGGAAGAAGATCAAAGATAAAAAGAACACATTTAATGCAGTCAGAAAACAAGCAACAATACCTTCAAAGGAATAGAAAGATACTGATGACTATTCGCCAGACACATAATCGCCACATTAGAAAAACATTTTAAAATATCAAAATGATCTTTCAGCCCATAATTCTATAGTTTGTGAAATCTTTCAAATATGAAAAAAACATAAAGATACTTTCAGTTAAACATAATAATAAATCTTACAAGAGGAAATCCAGGGAGAGTTCTTCCTGCTAGAAATGTTTTCCTCAGATGGCAATAGAAAGAGAATCACCAGAAAGGAAAGATGTTATAGAAAATTGAGGATTAAAACCACAATTACAACAGAGACAAAAAAGCAATGTTTTCTGATGTTAGAATATTTATAGAAATGGTTTAATAAGCTTATTAAACTTTTTAAAAAATTTGCTGTATATGGTGGCAAGGAGTATTTTGATAATCTACTACAATTTGATGCTTATGCCTTACTTTGTGCTAAAACTCACATATTCATCAGTGCTTTCGCACCAAAACCAAAATAGTACTTCTCCTATCCCATTACATATGTCTGTAAGGCAAAAAAAAAAGCCATATAGTACAATACATTCAATGCAGAAGCAGATAAAAGAATTTGGCTTCTATTAAACCACATGCTAAATAAATTTGCAAATATGTAAAAGAAATCCAATTTTCTTACTGAATTCTTTATTAAACTTTGGAAAATATTGTTATTTTTTATAAAATACATTATTTATGTTAATATTTCTTGTTTATCAGATTATTTTAAATGTGCTAAATATATATTTAATTAATTCATTTAATTTCTAGAATGATAACTACTAATAAATGTAATCTACATAAAGAGAAATTCTTTGGTGTCCTCAATCATTTTTAATATCAAAATGGGTCATGACAGCAAACATTTTGGGAACCAGTGATGTAGAGTTCCTCTGAATCGCTGACTTCATATCTTGAGATTTACATTAATTATGATGGGTGTGAGGATGATGAGCAGATTACCTGAAAATTTTTGCTTAGGTTTTTCAAGCAAACTTTGGATACTCCATACTTATTTATTCACTTTTGGAAGAATATCTTACTAATATCGTAAAGATAATAACTGATGGTTTTGGTAGGGCAAATATATGGATCCTCACTCATGAAAGTAACAGAGAAATTCAGATACTACAGAGATGTAGCAGTGAAGCTTTATTTAACACTTTATTTAATGTGGCTCAGAGAACAGGCAGTGCAGGTCACTTCACATCTCAAGACCTACACAAGGCTGAGAACCTTCCTGTTCCCCATTGTGGCAGGCCAAGTGCCAACTGCCTCCTCAAATGAAATACTTCTTCCCATGGTACCATACCTTGTTTTATCCAGTATTATGTGTTTTCACATTTCTGAAATTCAAGCAGCTCTGACAATTTTAAGTGCTTTTGTTTTTTGAAGCCTATATCATAACACAGTCTAACTTGGCCTAACTCATTAATATTCTGGCCTTCACTGATGCAAAACTATTTTATTTGTAGTCTTTGTTGCATCCAAGAATACACACACACACACACACACATACACACACAATATGAGGAGCTAATAACTCTGACACTATTGGAAATGTTTAAAAGTATCTATGTTATTATTGAAAAACAATTACAAAACTTGAAGTATATTTCATGCCATAGATTTCAGATAAGGGAATGTAAATTTGTATGTCTTTTTGAAGCATGAGTAGAAAGAATTCCTAAGAAGGAAGAATTCTAAAGAATGGTTTGTAAGGACAGGGGAAGTGCTGGAAGTGACACTGACCAAATTATATTTTTATATGGTACATTCATTATGTGCATGTATGAATATGAAACAACAAATCCCATCAGTGTGTACAACTATAATGTACCAGTAAAATTTGTGGGGAAAAAAGAATGTTTTGTGAAATGCAATAATGAACAATTTACGAACTTTGTACATAATTTAATTGCTTGCTGACCATCTGAACATTGCAGTAAATTGAGTCATTTCACCTAAAATTAGACATTTTAACTTTACTTTCATGAGATGTTCCTCTACTTTTATCTGGTATAGAAAATTAACTTCTTTAACCCATTCACTAATGGGTTACCTTTGGTAATCACACCAACCTACATGAATCGGGAAATGTTTCCCAGTCCAGAGTAAAAGGACAGAAGTGGCTAATTTAGGAACTTTACAGTGAACATTCATAATGTAAAACCCTGAAATATACGCTGAAATGCGTATGCTAACATCGCAGTCTCTTCATGGCATTTTTAATCTCTTTGTTTCTTAAGGTGTAAATGGCTGGATTCAGCAGAGGTGTGATGACTGCATAAAACACAGCAAGAAACTTGTCCACCCAGGTGATGCTGACTGGCCACAGATAGATGAAGATGCAGGGCCCAAAGAAGAGCACCACCACCGTGACATGGGCAGTGCAAGTGGATAGAGCCTTCGATGCCCCATCTGTAGAGTGAAGGCAGACAGTAAACAGAATATGCGAGTAAGAGATCAGCAACAGAATGAAGCAGATGGTTGCCAGCACCCCACTGTCAGCATTTATCAAGATTTCTAGAATAGAGGTGTCCATGCAGGCTAGCTTGATCACCAATGGAATATCACAGAAAAAACTATCCAGTTCTCTGGGTCCACAGAAGGGCAGCTTTATAATCAGAGCTAGCTGGCTCATTGAATGTAAAAAGCCTATGATCCATGAAGTCATCACTAACCCAATGCACATATGCCGGTCCATGATGCTGGAGTAATGGAGGGGCTTGCAGATGGCCACATAATGATCATAGGCCATTGACACAAGCAGTACCATCTCACCCCCACCAAAGAAGTGTCCAAAGAAAATCTGGCACATACACCCTCCGAAGGAGATGGTCTTGTTTTCCTTTAGAAAGTCTGTGATCATTTTAGGGGTTGTGACTGAAGAAAGGCAGAAATCAATGAAGGAGAGATTGGCTAACAAGAAGTACATAGGGGAGTGAAGGTGGAGATCAGTAATAATTATGACCACAATGAAGAGGTTGCCTAAAACAGTGATCAAATAAAGGGAAGAAAATGTCACCAGGAAGAAGGCCTGGAGTTCCCATGAATCACAAAGCCCAAGAATAATGAATTCAGACACCACAGACTGATTTGCTTCTTCCATTTAGTTTAGTTCTAAAAGCATCTGAAGAAAAAGACAAAGCATTACTTTTTCTGTATAAACAGTGTGTGAATCAAGAAGATGTCTTATATATTACCTTTGGATGTGGATTCTAGTATAATCATTTTGGAAGAAAGTTTGGCCTTATCTTGTAACAGTCACACCTTTGCACATTTTATGGCCTAGCAATTAAACCCTTATTTACAACCCAAAATTTATTCTCACATTTGTATCCAAGGATTAATTTATAATAATGCCCACTGACATTGGAGCCTATGTTTTGAGCCATGGCAAATGAAGCAAAGATGATACAGAAGTATCTTTGTAAACTATAATAATTTTTAAAAAGTGTTCAAATGTGATTTATTTGTCATAGTTTTTGCAGGGTAGATAGGAATAGAAAAAAACTGTGTGTATGGATTTGATAAACCTATATGTGAAATAAAAAAAAAAAAACAACATGTACAATATAAGTAACTTCAAGTGAAAGGAGGCCAAGGTAGGCATGAAACTGATCACAGGAGCATATAAAAGCATTATAAATTGTTAAGTTATTGCATTGTCATATTTTCTTAGGTGTAATTTGATTATTGAATCATTAATTATTATTGAATTAATATATATGGAGTTGTCACTGAAAATTGATGAGAGGATAATATGAATCAATAATTATGATCAATACTATGGGCCTGAGATAAAATACCATTTTTAAAGGGCTTTTCATTGTTTAGGGTCTATGTATAGAAAAATAGTTCTTGTATATAACTTTGAAATGTTTGGAAGAAAAGTTAGCATGTTATTAAAGGTCAATAATTATTTCAAAAATGATTGAGTAAGTGAATGAATCGATCAGTAAAAAAACAGAAGTATTAATACTAGCCTTCACAAAATTATTTTCACCAATGAATGTAATTAAGCATAAGAGTAGATAAACCAGTCAAGGAGAAAGTGGTTAGCCACTCTGTGACAAAATAAACATTCCAGACATAAAGACAGGATAGCTCATGAGCAGTAGGAAGACATATTCTCTGATTATGAGTCTCGGAGCTCATGGAACCTGTAAGAAGATACTCAGAACAGAGATATACCTCAGTGGATCCTGAGGTTCAGTGTTGAGAATAGAACTGTAAAACATGTTTGAAAACCCATGTTGCCAGACATGATTTAGGACCACAGAACACAACATCTGGCATTTAATTTGCCTTCAAATAAGAAAGCTTCTGAGAAATTGAAATCTGGAAATCTCTGCATGGACTAAAATGAATTCTGGGACTAAAGTGATGACTGGGACAGTGACGGTGCATCCACTTATGGGAGTTAAAAATGGGAAGACCTTTGTGACCTGAGACTTAGGCTGAATATTTTCAGAGTCTGATAATTCTCTCCATTTCTAACATCTCCATAGTCACTTTTCTAGTCACTCTCATCTGACATAGACCAAGAAGCCAACATTTTTAAAATACCTTATGTTGCCCTCAAATGCTACAGGCAGAAGACTTTTCCCTGAACCATTATAGGCAGAAGACACAGAGCCAGATCCTGGAAGGGATATGTTTTAGAGTATTTAATTTGGTTGAGAAGGAATATGATTTCTATGAATCATGAAAAAATAATAAAATTCTACCTAAGAATACTTGTCATATGAAAAATGACCTAAGAAAAACTGAAATTGGCCATATAGTTATGTAAAAATATTCTACACATCTGTCATGGTTCTGTGATTATTGCTTTTGGCACTAATTGCTCTAGGTTTCTGCCCAGACAGTTGGTGCTTATCCTCACTGTTATGTATAATTGAAGTTGTTGATGTTGTTTGATTTAAGCATTGTTGTCAGATACCAGGGATAACAAAGAGGACAGAATTATAAAGTACCAGATGTGGAAAGGGCTTCCATATTTTCTAGTCAAGTCAACAAGAAATTATCAAACATTTTCTTAGTGTATTAAACTTTTTAAGAAACTTCACATGAAAAAGAAATAGACTGTAAGTTATATCCAAATGCTGTAAGTTATACCAAAAAAGTACAATCCTATCTCTGCTTTTTCACTTTCCTTTAACATTTTTTAGTATTAGCTTAATTACAAAAGACAAAGTATTAATACTAATAATTCATATTAGTAGCAATATTACTAATACCCTTACAACAGCTCGTGAGCATTCCCAGGTGGTTGAAGTAAATCTTCAGATTCCAAAAAACATATATTTATAAAGCCAAAAGGATAAAGCAGAACTCACCAAAGAGAATGAAATTTAGGAAAATGAAAACAAAGAAAAGAAAATGAGACCAATTCCATTTTTCTTTTTATAGGTGCTCGTTTCAGAGTTATGTGAAAACTAACTCCACGTCTCCCATCTGCCTCTCTGGACACCTTCCATATGCCAGAAACTTTCATCCTCTTGTCTAACTTAATCTTCACAATAACTCCATGAAGTGGGTCTTATTCTGGGTTGGACTCGGGGTAGCCTGTCAGAAGTCTGAGAGCTGAAGAGTCAGACAAGTTACAGACCCCATGTTTCCTGACTCTAGCATTTCTGTGGAATTATACTCTTTCATCTCCTTCAGTTAGTACTAAAAGCATAATTCCATTTCCAAGTAAACACTCACTGTCACAGTTTTTGAGAGATTACTCTCCATATACTGCAAGGCATTTTCCTGATCTAAATTATAAACAATATTTTCCCCATAGGGAAATTTCTGTTAATTACAGTCGCTTATCCACGCCTGGAAATGTCCCACAATCCAGGAAGGTTGTGGACCCTGATGGTTCTCAGTCTATGAGAACAACTTTTAGTCAGCCAAGACATCTAAGAAGCCATAAGACCTTAAAGAAAGCATTCACTTTGTTGCTTTAGGGAATTCAAAACTCCCAAGATCTCACTGGAAAAGAACCCTTGATATTTCTGAAAGCTCTGTAGCACTTCCAAACCACCTCAATTAGTATGTGGTAAAATGACCTAAAAACACTGGGAAATTGTGCTAGAGGAAAGGAATTGAAGAATAAGTTGAGAACTGTATAGACTACATCTTACCAGAGAAACAATGAATCTAATAAGATTTTCTCATGAATAATGCATTGCCTGTATTCTATTTTGCTACAAAGATATTGTAGCAAAACAATCTATCTTCTGCTGTGGCCAGTGTTCGTGGGAGACGTCAAGGCATGTATTTATTACAGAAAGTAGCCTCTGGGGTAGGGAATTTTTAATTTACCTATGTTCTGTTCCTTTGAGACCTCACAGTTTCTTAGTTTTTTTGAACTGAGAGTGTCACTTCATGGTGTGTCTGATGTTCAGGTCAAAGATAGAAAGACTTGGTGAATATTAAAATACATCTTCTGATGATGAGGATTGAGCACAATTTTAAAACTTTTATTTCTTTAATTTTAAAAAATAAAATAAAAACATTACTTATTTTGGAGTTGGGCTGCCATTCTCTTCCCAGATGACTTTCAATTGCATAGCCTGCATTGAACTGCTATGGAGATTCAGTGGAGAACAGGGAAATGTGAAGGTCCCCAGATTTTTTTGTCCTAACTTGATGGAAGTTCTAGGTTTAGCATATTAAATAAAAAACTGTGTTACTAATCTACTCCACATATCAAATCAATAATGAAAGCCTACTTTTTTATTTTCATTTAAAAATTATTCAATTTAATTGTTACAGATTCCAATACTTTAGAGCTGGAGAAACAAATATAATGATCCTTTTAGTTTTTCTCCTTTAGTTTTTCACCAGAAATAATATTTGTCCACATTTTAACATTTCCTTTCCATTTAATTGTATAACTATATGTACACATATCAACCTACATATTTGGAGGACTCCTCTTTCTTTTGTAATGTACAAGAAGTAGGAAGATAACTGAATATCCAAGTTACTTAAAGCCAGTTTATGCTTAAATATCTTTCATTCAAGGTTATGGCTTCTTTAACAGAAATTGAGGAATTGAGGGAATTTTATTTAAAACACATCTCTTTTCTGTTTAAAAGTAAGGACTATTTTTAAAGTGTTCTTATAACAATCTAGATCTGGATACACTGGATTTGAGAAGACTAGGGAAAGAGCACAGTTGCATACCTTGACCTCAACTCCATGTAAGTTCATCAAGGAAAGTTGCCAGTAAATATCATATATATGAGAATGACTTCCTATTGTCCCATTGTTTGTTTCTCTCTCTTCCTATTACTAGAGAACATTTTCTTTTTCTAAACAAACAATTTCACTAGTCCTGAGTGTTGTACACATTGGGCAGTTTCCAAGCATTTACCTAAACTTCATGGTCATTGTCCTATCTTGAATAATGTATGCATATATTCCAGGGAGTAAGTAAATCTTGTGTTTCAACTTGACCAAGTAAAGAGAGACAAGAGATCCATCTATTTGATTATGGTGAGTATTAGTACTGTTACTCTTTAAAAGGGAGAAGGGGATAGATACCTCAATTGATCTTGCTCAATTCTGCTCAAGTTAAAGATGGAAGAATGGAAAGCCTCATAAAACCTGACCTAGGTAAACAAGCATTTATATAAACCATCTGGGTTTACAATTTGTCTAGAGTGGATCCAATCAAGTAGTTGAAAGTTATATGGTAATAGGTAGACCTCTTAGGAATAGAACTGAATCTTTTCCCAGGCTAAATTACACACACACACACACACACACACACACACACACACACACGCAGATGGGAGGGAGAGAAAGAAAGAGTGGGAGAAATAGCAATAGGCCAATGGTACATAAGGTGCCTTGTTCATTAGATGGCTTATCACTCATAGCTTATTTTGACCACCTAACTGTAGATGGCCCTCCATAAGGTAATAGGAAGGTGATTAGTAACCATGTTCTTTACTTTTCTTTATTGTTTATCCTTTGAAGAAAACTAGAAGTTATTAATCAAGGCAATTTAATCTAGATATGGGCTGTTTTTCCCAATAATATTTGAGAATAGACCATATTTTGTTCTGCATGGCTTTGGGTCTTGACTAATTCATATGTCCCTCTAAA